AGAGAGAGAGAGAGAGAGAGAGAGAGAGAGAGAGAGAGAGAAAGAGAGAGAGAGAGATTTGCCTTATACTGTGATTTCATATTTTTAATGGTTAAATTATTGACCCACTTATGGAATAGCCCGAGACTCGGTCGCATTGGAGTTTAAGTGACGTGGGCTGATTGCAACGCTAGATTAGCCGGAGGCTAACCTACGTTCGCGGACTATAATCTAAACAAGCTATCATTAATTTTAGTACGTGTGTTGGATGTTCGCAGTACCAATAAACATCACAGACAGCGATCTGGCTCGCGGCAAGTACCTGACGCACTTTGAGTGCTGACAACATTTGAGATATACGCGTCCATATAATATATACTATATTTACCGTATCTGCCCCAGATGTTACCGTTCGGACACTCCGGTGACGAACGTTCGTTATTTCACGTCTAGCTTATATTTTTATTAATTGCAAATGAGTCCGGCTTAGAACGTCTCTTGCACATTTTCAATTGGTTCACTGTTTTTAAGAGTGTTTTTAGCTACCTATTTTGAGATTAAAAGATATTGAAAGAATGAGCAAAATATGATTACTTAGCAGTTGTGCCATTTGTAAGTTATTTTTAATAATTCGATTGACCACATAATCTACCCTAGCCGAGATATGTATATATTTTCAAATATTTACATCGAATCAAAAAATCACATTAATCATCCATCTGACCCAAGTGTAGTTAGAAATCACACTCGCGGTCGTGTTATATCTATTTGACCGACTTACACATTTTCTCGTACATGCTTTCAGGATGATTAGAGTCGGTACTTTTATTGCTGTAAGAAAGAAATATACTGCCAAAAGAAAGTAAGATTTAACGCATTTAATCCTTTCTAAACGGTGGCCTTTGAAAAAGTACAGCTGCGTATCTCAAAGAACGGAAAAGTACCACTTCCTCTAATTACTCTGCTTGTGTGTGAAGTTCCTAGGAAGAGAGGCGTCTGCCGGAAAACCGTTATGCTACTTCAAAGCCATTCCACATTACTCAACAGCTTTTAATTGCGATACGAATAAATTATTCGATTCATCTT